TAATCAATCTCCATCTAGGACTTCGATGTTGAGAATGGTCATAGATTTTATAAGTAATTCTCTCGCTATCTTCATCCCAATAAATCATGCAACCATTTATACAATTGCGGATCCTTTGAATGGGTAAACCTATAAGTTTCATCAAATTTTTCATACTTGTAAAATGTCTTCTTGCATATAGTTATCGGTAGGCATTAACTCTTTCATATGTTGAAATAAATCGTCGTAACACATCCGTAAAAAATGATGTTCGGACTTGAGGTATACAAATTTACCATTGCGAGATAATTATAAGTGGTTTTCTAAATCGAGCTAGATCTCTCTATTGGATGCATTCAACAACTTCTGCATGTGCATCTAGGCTTGGAACTTCATTGATGTTAGATGGATTAAATAATAAACCAACTCTATCCAACACCATTGTATGATATGGATTAGCTAGAGGTTCATCAAATATTTATTCAAGTTGAATAAAATTTTACGAGTTGTCACCATAAATGATCGACTCATTTTCTTCATGACGTATCCATACATAATACCTAAAAACAAAACCATATCTCATCAAATGGTATTTAACTATATCAAGATATTCCGAACTACGGTTCGACCCTTTTTAAGTTTACAAGAACATCTTATCTTATTTTTGCCCATATACTTTGGATGACTAACGATAAAATTAATCAATTCATTAATCTCATCTATGAAATGGTGCTTTAAAAGACCATCGGTTGATCTATAGTCAATCCATGAATGATCCAAATTTATTTTAAACTAAATTCAATTAATATAATAAAGACCTAATTTACTTAATTTAATAAATAAAAAACTTAAATAACAACTTAATTAATTAAACTAAAATATAATTTTTAATTTTATACTAAATTTAATTAACAACTAATTAACTTATTTTAACAAATAAAAAACTTAATTAACCACTAAATTAATTACATTAACATGAATTTTTTAATTTTTAATTAAATTTAATCAATTTAATAAACAAATAATTTATTTAATTTTAAAAACTTAATTAATTAAACTAAAACGTAATTTTTATTTTTATACCAAATTTAATTAATTTAGTTAACAACTAATTAATTTATTTTAACAAATAAAAAATTAAATAATTACTAAATTAATTATACTAACACATAATTGTAGATTTTAAACTAAATATAATTAATTTAATTAATAACTAATTAATTAATTTTAAGAAATACAAAAGTTAATTAAGTACTAAATTAATTAAATTAAGATGTAGTTGTTAACTTTATACTAAATTTAATTATTTTAACTAACAACTAATAAACTAATTTTAACAAATACAAAACTTAATTAACTACTAAATTAACGTAATTGAAGATTTTAAACTAAATTTAATTAATTTAATTAACAACTATTTGGTTTATTTTAACAAATTAAACACTTAATTAACTACTAAATTAATTCAAATAACATGTAAATGTTATTTTTAAACTAAATTTAATTAATTTAATAAACAACTAATTTACTTATTTTAATAACTAAAAAAGTTAATTAACTATGTAATTGTTTAAACTAACACGAAATTAAATGTTTTTTTAACAAAATATGAATAATTTAATTTACAACTAATTTAGTTATTTTAAAAACTAAAAACTTAATTAACTATGAAATTAATTAAACTATAACAAACTTAATATTTTTAAATAAGTTTTAAATAATTTATTTAAAAATTAATTTAATTAATTTAACATATATGTAAGTTAATTAACACCTCCATTTAATTAAACTAACAAAATGTTAAATCTTAAAAAAATTAAATAATATTATCTACCATAAATAAAATTAATATAATTAACTACTAAATCACTTAATTAACACATAAATATTTAAACTAACACCTATTAAATTTTGAAAACAATTAAAGCATTTAATTACCAACAAATAAACTTAATATAATTAACAACTTTGACAATACTAATTTACATATTATTAAATAACCTAACACTTAATTAAATTTTTAAATAACTAATTAGTTTAATTAACAACAAATAAATTAACTATAAAAACAAACTAAATTAAACTAACTAAAAAATTAACTAATAATTAATTAAATAAAAAATATACTTAATTTAATCAACAACTAACATACTAAATTTAAAAACAAAATAAATTCATTAAACTAACTAAGAATTAACAAATAATTAATTAAACAACATAATTAAATAAACTAACAATTAATTAATTTTTTTAACATAAAATCATTTTAATGAACAACTAACAAATTAACTATAACAACAAACAAAATTAAACAAACTAACAATTAACAAATAATTAATTAATAAAATATATAAAATTAATAAAAATTGGAAAAAAAATTAATTAGTCACGAATTACACAAATGGAGGAGTAGAGAAAGAGGTAGGAGTTGTTGCCAACTCATGGTGAAAAGGTGGAGGAGCATTTGTCATTGCCACTTGCATTGTAATCGGAGATGAGGAGGGAAGGAGAGAAAGAGGAAGAAAAGGGACGAGGAAAGTGGAAGAGAAAAAGATAAAGGAGGAGATTTGAAGGGAGTTGTAGTCGAGATTTGAGGAGAAATGGGGAAGAAAGTGGTGGAGGCTGTAGGCTGTTGGAAGAAGAAGAAGAAGAGAAAGAGAGAAGAATTTGAGGAAAAAATGTTCGAGCAATAGCTTTTAAGGATTCAATTTTTTATCGATGGTTTCAAACCATCACTAAAACCATTGCTAATAACTATAAAATATTCAAATAAGATCATTTTCTCTCTAATGGTAAGAAATTAGTGATAGTTTTCATAAAAAACTATCGCAAAATCCTATCCTCCATTGACTTGGCAACTATTAGATTTAGTGATGATTTTTAGTACTCGTTGCTAAATCTACTCGTAATAAAGGGATTTTTACGATGGTTTTTCAAAAATTATCGCTAAAAAATAATTTTTTTGGAAATTAGTGAGAGTTTACTTAAACCGTCAATAATTCCAAAGTCATTACCCCATTTAGCAATGGTTTTATGTAAAGCTTGTTGCTAAAAATAGTCATATGTGACTAAAATAGCGATGTTTTACAAACTATCATCAAAAACACATTTTTTAAAAGTTATTAGCGATGGTTTATGAAAATCATTGCTATTGAATGGTTTTAGCAAGGGTTTTTGAATCCATATCTTAAAAATCATTGCTAAAACCTATTTTTTCGATAATGGAAGGAAAGCTTTAGGTATACATTTTGGTGTTCTTTGGATTGATAAGGTTCACAAAATTAGTAGCCTCTTGATGAAGATGAAAGAAAGGTGGCACAAGAATGGTTAAAAGCTTTTGTGTGGACATCTAGCCTTGATTTTGTACCAATTTTCTTAACTTTTATTTGTCTTGACATCCCCCTCCTTTTAAAATCATTATCATCGGGTCTTTATTTAACTAGAAGCTAGGGTAATTCTTTCATCGGCTAATAACCTTTATCTATGTGCACAATATATATATATATATATATATACATTTTAAATTGTATAGATATAAAAATAAAGGTTAAAAAACTAATTAACTTTTTTTAGTTTTTAATATTTTTATGAAAAAAAGGAAAAAAAAAAAGAAGAAGAACAACCTAAGGTTGTATATTTACATTCGTGTCAATTTTTTTTTCACATACATAATATAGACTTAAGAGAAACAAAATGCCAATAAATTACTCCTATAATAATTAAAAAAGAGGTATATGCATTTAACAAGAAAAAAAATATTATTTGTCTAAAAAAATTAGTCATTAGTAGCAACAACAATCGAGTGCAACAATAGTCACCATGGTAGCTACTTGTAAAAGTAGCCACTAGTAATAGGAGTAGCCACTAGCAATAGTAGAAGTAGTAGTAACAACTACCAAATAACGATAGGAGCGAGACACTAGCAACGGTGACAACAACAATCACCATTAGGGATGACAATTTGCCCCGTCCCGACGGAGCCTCGCCCGACCCCGTCCCGATTTTCTTACGTCAATGCGGGGATTCCATGCATTGAGCGGGGAACAAGGCGAGGATGGGATTTGCTTGCCCCGTCCCGTTTGCTCCGTTTTTTTCATTAAAATTATAATTATACCCATATAAAAATATATGATTAGTGTCTTTTAGGATTTATTTTTTATATAAACTATCATTTTTTTTTTGTTATAGTTTGAAATTTTGTAGTAAAATAAGATAAAAAGATATGGAAAAAAAATTTACCTCGTTTGCCTCACGGGGATCCCCATCCCCATTTGGGGCGGGGATGGGATAGAAAATTTTGCTCCGTTCGAAGCACGTGGTGGGGATGGGGATGGCGATCCTCGCCCCGCCCATTGCCATCCCTAATCACCATCCACAATAACAACAATAGTGACAAAAGTGGCACAAATATCCATAAAGAAAACCCATATCCTAGATTCAAAATTAGCTCTGACCCAAACTTAATTCAAGAAAAACTCAAAGAACATACTTAAACTAATTGAGAATTTGAGGGTCCGTGTTCTAATTTCTGAATACTTTTTTATTTATGTTAATTGTGAATGGGTTAGGGAGTGGTGGCTTTCAGCTGGTGTTTGTAGGTTATGGAGTGGTAATAGCTATGGTGATTTTGTGGAGAAAAAGGAAGAAAAAGGAAGAAAAAAAGCATAAATAAAAAGAAAACATAGATAAAAAATTAATTAGTCATTTTTCTTTTTTTAATCTTTTATCTAGAATTTTTTTCATAATTCTTTGATTTGTTGCTGCCTACATAGATTACAATCTGATGATTAGAGGATGTAAAATAGCACAAGCTTTACTCCTAAAGTTGTGAAAAAAGAACCTTACATTGAATTTCTATCTTGACATCTTTCAAAGATGAAAAAAGGACTATTGAAGAATAAGAAAAAAAGTTTAGTCCGAGCTCTGGATTCTTAACAGGCCCAAACACAGCTTAAAGCAAAAAAATTGACACAATGCTGGTAATATAATTAACAGGACAAAAGAAAAGAGAACGAAAGCCATCAGAAAGGGTTCCCTTTATGCACCTCTTCATTATCCTCGTTCCCATATATTTTGTATCTAAAAGCCTGGCTTAAGTTATTAGCTAGAGCTGCTACATCATAATCTCTGTCATGAAGGTCATCCTCGTCACTGTCCCGTGTCCAATCTATTTTCTCCCCAAGGTGAAAAACTCCACCAGCAGCAATTCACATTAGTGACACAAAACGAGAAAATAATGCTTATCAAACTCAAAATTTTAATGGAAAATTTTAACATATAATTCACATTAAAAAACAATAACCCTACATAATGTTAGATTTTTTGAGGGACACAAAAGAAAATTATAAGCAAAACATGCAGATTGACAATAAATTTAAATCTGTTCACAAACATATCATTATTATTTAAATATGTTTTGCAATAAATATCTAAATCTTATAGGTTATCACTTATTTGAGTGCTCATTCAAGCGATGCACATCAACACAGCTACAAACACTGTTTTAGAGAGTGGATAAGCATAAAAGATGAGGCAAGAGTGTACCCGCAAGCCCATCGGTAGACATTTTCAACCGCATTACGCTCTTGCAAAACACTGGCTTGCCACTCGTTCCATTTGCTATTTTCCTGGAGATAAATGAAACTAAACTGAGTTAGCAGAAAAATAAACCAAAATTACATATAAGAGACATCAATTCAATCACACAATTATGTTGATGTTGGGAGCAAAGAAGCACTAAATGCCACAAGGAGTTGGAAAGAGCAAATAATTAATGATAGTATTAAAGTTGTAACATCATGTACTTCAGAAGAAGCACGAAAAAGGAATATTTGAAAATACTCTAATTAGAAAGGTAAATGAAAAAGAAGAATACAATTTAGGAGTTCCAGTTCCTAACAGAGAGAGCATAAACTCCATGGAATTGCTACCGGAAAGAACAACACAGTGGATAGATGATGTCATCACAAAAAGAAGCAACAGTTACAAAACAGAGTCTATTGCCCACTTATAGACGGTTCAAGCCAAAACAAGCTTAATGTGATTTATATCAAAGATAATAAAAGTCCCTCAATACTTAATTTCTTTCAGCAATAATTCAAGGGGCAGACAAGTTCCACACAAGTTCCACATGCCAGTAAAACTATGAGGTTTCTCTATGGAACTTTGTACTCGTGAAACAATTTTATGCACAACATACATCCAGCTTACCACCCACCTGTAAATAAGACTGAATGCGGCTATTGCTGTTTCCCAACTGAACAAGCTTGTTAGAAATTCGTGTAATGCATCCAAGGTTTCCTGCTCGTGGTGCTTGTTTTCCAGCAGCAGGAATAGTTGGCTGCATAAGAAAACATATTATTGATAGATAAAGCATGCCAATGCAAGATATAAATGATCATATCAATTAACTAATTTCCCATTCTACCAAATTGCAAGTAGAGGGGGAAAGACATGTCTTTTGCTCTTTCCCTTTCGATGCAGCAGATTACATGCAGATAAGTCCTTATCATTATTATTCCTAAAATTATCAATATCATAAAAAACACCATATACCTGATTAATATCACCAGATGTTACAGGGTTTTTATCTGTTTGGAGAAATTTTCCTATCAAACCACACTCTTGAAGAAGATGATCAACCATAGCATCACTCTCAGATGGAATAACATTGTGCATGACACTCCATTCTATGTCATCTTTATATCTTATTTATGTCATAAAGAGTTGTAAAAAACATGCATAAAGTTCTTTGTATGCAACTATAGAAACTAGGGGCCAATATATAAACTAAAATATAAGAAATGTTAGTTTCTTGACACTTGGCATATAATCTTACTCAAGTTAGCTAATGTCTTGACATCTAGCATATAATCTTACCTTATCTAGAGTTAGAAAATGGTGAATAGACACCGAGATCTTCTTTTATAAATATCCCTCATCCTCTTCTCATTTTGAGCGGGAGAATGAAAGGAATAATAAATAGTGATTTTATGCATTTGTTTCTCGAGCAAAACTCTAATATTTATCTAGTCTTTTGACTTTACTTGGTATCAAATGGTACGTTAAGGAGTATGAGAGAGAGTTAAACTCGTAAAAAAAGTAAAAACAATGCACCCACGACACGGAAAAACTTTATTCGGTGTTGGTGATAAGTAAATACTATTCAAAAGTATATTAGATCAAACATTCATTATTAAAGTGAGTTTAAATAAATATTGTTTTAACATTTATGAATTCTAATCAAAATTGGATAAAAAGTTTATCTTTAACTAAGGCTAGAACTGTTGAACTAAGTCAACTTTAAGGTTGCAATATCGATTTTTAGCCTCATATAATAGAAAATTATCTAAATATCAAGTTTATTAAAGGAGTATAAAAATATTACAAGCCTTTCTATTAAATGTTATAGTATTACTAAACAAGAAATAGAAAAAATATATATTTTTATCAATATTATATTTTTGAGAGACTTGGTGCTTTTGCGTGTTTTATTAATGAATAATGATTTTCTAAATAATGATTTTTTTTTCATCTTGATCATGTTTATCACTACACGACATATGAAACTTTCAGAATTTTAGCTAAGTGAAAAGAATTAAGAAAATTTTAAAGTCACCGCCTAGTATTGAAGAGAACTAGGAAACCTAATGAAGTCACTAGATTGAGAGATTACGGATCAAAAGTGGGTTATGTTTTTGAGAAAATAATAATCACTCGAAAGCATTCTTTTCAAGAAAAGGTATCGGGTTTAGTCTAATCTTAAAACTATTCCCTAAAATTTAAGTTTGTCAAATTATTTCTAAATCTATTTCCAAACTTGTTTATCATTTAAGTCAATTTTTTTTATTTGAAATTATATTAAATTAACATTAGGCTTTAAGATCGAAAGTCTCATCAATTTAACATTGGATCCAATTACATCCCGACATGACTTCCATGTTGAGAAACGACCTAATTAGCTAAGAGTGTTACATTAACATGTACTTATCCTAGCTAATTATATTTTTTTTAAGGTGTCGTGACCAAAGTTCATCCCTATTAAATAGGAGACTCGACAATTCCATATCCTACAAGATAAATGCAATAAGAATCAAAATATATTTAAATAAAATGCCAACACACATCTTTAAATTATGAATTTGAACATAACTCAAGGACAAGTAATAGATGCTTATATGAAAAAAATTAGAATGTAAAAACATTCGAGGATATGTCAAACATGTAAAATACCATAGCAATTAATTTCGAGTTTGACATATTATTATTGCTCTAGCCAAAAAAATAACTTAAAAGGACAACCATCACATGTCTTAAAAATATGAAATTTTGCATAAAGTTTAGGAACAAATAGATAATATTCAATACAAAAATATCAAGAGATAAAAATATCTAGGGGTACCTTAAACATATAAAAACATGATAGAAACTATTTCTAGCTTGAGAAATCACCATTGCCATAACTAAAAAGATGATTTAAATGAGAAACCATTTTAAATCATAAAAATTTAAAATTTTATACATAAATTAGAGACAAATAGATGATGTTCATTTAAAAAAAAAATAGAAAGTAAAACCATCAAGGGATGTACCAAAGCCGAAAAACAAAATAATAGCCATTTTCAACTTGAAAATCGGTATTGTTGTAACTAACAAAACAATTTAAATAGAAAACCATCCTAAATCCTAAAGATCTAAAATTTTACACAAGGATATGAGACAAGATATGGTGTTTTGTAATAATCTTAGAAACTAAAAACATATGAAGGTATGCCAACAACACAAAACACGATCGGCATCAATATTCATTAGGGCTTAGGTTGACCATGTGATCTATTAGTATCAATGGACATCCAAATACACTTTTTTCATACTAAGATGACAAGGATGAAGCAAAAAAATTAAGGAATTATCTATTAAAATTCAAAAATAGTTACGAAGTTTGGAGTTGATAGATTAGTTTGTTTCCAAACTTGTAAGGTGCTTGAATGGTGTTTTCTCCTTTTCTTTTCACTTTTTTCTTTCCTTTTCTCTCAAGCTCTTCTTTTTCTTCCATAAAACCTTCTTCTCTTTTTGATTCTATCAATATCAAATTAATCATCACTATGGGCAAAAATGATCCAAAAACGAGATTTGGACCATCGTAATCCAAAATTGCATATGTTTAGATGAAATAGACCACATGAATGATTTAATATTATTAACAAAAATAGTTCAAAAAAAGGTTTGAGCTGACGCAATGCAATTACATAAACAACAAAAAATATTTACGAATAAATAATACAATACTTTGCCTTGATATTTTTCGTGCCTTGACTCTTTTTTGCATGTTTGATACATTAAGTGTATCTTAAATACGCCGACTCAATAATCACATAGCCATAGCGGTAACTTAATTAATTTAGAGTCATATCATAGCAATTTAATTAATTACGGAGCGATCGACATGAATTAAATTTAATACGTATTAAAATAAAATAAAATAATAAAAAAGATGAAAAATAAATTACGATAAACGAAAAAATAAATTTGACTATCGAATTGGGGTCGGTTTCGATCTTTTCAACCCGAATAGAGACTGATATTTAGTCAATTAGGTAGAAGAGACGGTTGCGCATTATAGATCTAGACTTGATGTAAGGTGAAGTGGGCGACCGGATCATGGCTAGATAGCTACGATGGTTGTTAGACATAGCGCACGTACGAGTATGGTCATGGACATGATGTGTGCACGAACGGAGTGACGATCGATCGAAGGTCGAAGTCGAAGATGAGGAAGGTTGTCAAATGGTAGATATCAACTAGATCAAGCACTTGTTGATGTCAAAATACTACTCGGAGTTGGCGCGAGGCTGGATCGTGCGGTTGGAGATGTTGGGATGCTTCGTTGCGGTGGGCATCACGATGTGATGCCAATTAGATCAAAGGTGGGGATTGCTAGATGTCGGTGGAGGTAGCTCTCATAGCATGAGGCCGGCTTGATCGAAGAAGGGGACGGTAGGATATCGGTGGAGGAGCTGGACATCAACGGTGATGGCTTCGATAAAGAAAAAGCTATCGGTTAGATTCTTTTTCTAGAGAGAGGAGGTATGTGGCTAGATTTTTAGAGAGAGAAAGTTGTTGGAGGGGAGGAAGAAAAAGGAATATTTATACTAAGTTTTAAGATTTTTGGACAAAGTTTAGTTTGGTCCTTCATATAGCAACCCCGCTATATTTTCTTCTTTTCTCTTCTTTGTTCAATTACATCCCTCAATTATATTTTTTTTCAATCCCTTTTCTCTCTTTTTGTTTTGTATTTTTTGGAAAAAGTTTGGATGCTAACAATGGACATGTGTAATGCTTATTAGGATGCACCCATTTTGATTAATTTGTGTCATAGATACAAGTGGATATGAGGATTAATACTTTTATTGATTGTTGTAGAATTATGGGCAAAAATACATACTCAACTCCCAAAATGCATGTGATTTTTGCTTTTTTAGAAACACATTAAACATAAAAAGTATTTGAATGGAAATTAATTTTTTTCCAAAAAATACAAAACATTAAAAAAAAAGTTGTTGGATACCAACACAATTTTGGGTTTGAATAGGGTACCACGGGCATACACATATGTCTTCAAGGAATGTCAAAAGTTGTTGGGTAGTCATAGTATTACTCAAGTTTGGAGGGGGCAAAACATGTTGGCGGATAGGTCGGCAAGCGTGGCTCTTCGAGCATAGGTAGATAGTAGGCTTACTTGTTTTTCGGAGCTGCTTGTGGAGTTTAAGGTAGCTAGTAGACAAGATAGTATGAGATTGTTTAATTACATAAAATAATCCTTATTCTTAGGAGTTAGGCTTCTTTATCCCCCCATCATGATTTGGGTAAGGCTGGTTTATCCCTCCTTATAATATTTTATTTTTTATTAAATAAAATTACTAGGGTACCACCCCTATTCCTATAAAAAAAAACTTTCTATAGTAGGTTGAGATGGGATAAAATTGAGATGAATAAGTTTAGTGAACAAGCTTTTTTATTTAGATGTTTAAAATATAATACTTTTGGTAGTAGTTGTTGCTACACGACGTCGAGATGGGGGGACTTTCGAAAAAAATTTACATTTTTAGAGATTCACATCTCATTTATAGGTTATTCGGGGATGTGAGTTATTATTTAATTTAGAGTTCGTTGCCTAATATTAAAAGAACTAGAATCCTAAAGATAAGCACTAATGCGAGAGATTATTAGGTTAGGGATTCGTTACGCTTTGAAAAGATATCGATCACCCAAATACGCCCTTTCCTAAGAAAGGTATTACATCTAGCTTAGTCTTAAATTCATCTCCTAAATTATTTTATTTTGTGCTAACTTATTTTCGAATTGAACTTTAATTTTCAAGTTAAATTTAATATTTTATTTTTAGGCGTTGCATCGTCTTGAAAGGATCGTCGATCCCCCTCATTGGGTGACATGTCGGTTCAAATATCAAATCTATTTTAAGTCTCGACACAACCGATGTGTCGAGAGAACATTCTAATTATTAAATATTGATTTTTTTCTAACAACGAGTCCCTATTAGATATGAGACTTTATTAAGAATTTTTGTTATTTTTTGGCAATGACGAGTCCTTATTAGATAGGAGACTTCGTTAAAAACTTATGTTATTTTTTTTGGTAATGAGAGTCCCTATCCGATA